TGATGGGATCAATCTTGATCTCCCTGAGGATGTCATTCGTCCTAATGTACCATGGTACTTTGAAAAGTCTTCTCAGAGCTTGATTTTGTGCAATTTCTAGCTGGCGAATAGTAGTGTTGGAAGCTTTGCTAAACGCCACACAATCATATAGAAGTGACGGACGAATTATTTGGTTATATACTTATCAGTTTCCTGTTCTTAGCATTGAGATTTTCATTTCTGAATAACGATTGAAGATGATGAAGAATTTTGGCACAGCTAATTCTTTTCAGTTGATCATGTTTAAGCCATGTGAATCGTTTGTCCAACGTGATGATTACAATACAAATTTATTCTTTACATTTTTGTTTAAGTACATAAGAAAAAATAATTAAAATTAAATTTTAATTACTTAAAAATTAATTTAAGTAACTAAATAAATTAATTTAACTAAATAAATTAATTTAACTATATAAATTAATTAAACTAAATAAAATAATTTAACTAAATAAATTAATTTAACTAAATTAATGAATTTAACTAATTAAACTAAATTAATCAATTTAACATTTTTTTAATTTTCTGAAATTGATACGCAACAATGAAACTGAAATAAGTTTTGTTGCTGGAATTTCTTAGCAACATGTCAACATGAAAAATGGTGTTACCGTTGTACGTGACATCTGCCAATCAATAGCGCAGGCTTCCATTTAGCATGTTCAGAAACCTTTAATTACAATTAAAGCGAGAATTGGCTGAAATAAGAACTTGTTTATAATTTCATACGGTAGGTGGCACTGTATTCAAAACAGCCTAAAGTTAGGCAATAATAAAAAATATTGAATAATATAAACTAGATGGATTATGAGGATGGATATTGAGAGGTAAAGGTTTTTGTTTTATTCTCTACTGAAGTGGGAATACTGTATGGAAATGTTTTGTAATTAAATTTAGTATATAAACGAGAAACTATTAATGAGAGATTCTTTTCTAAATTAACTAAAAGGAGAAAAAGAGATGCGTGTAATACGCAATAGATACGAGATAATGAAAAACAACAGATGCTGACTTGAACTTAAGCGAGTTAAAGTTATTAACTTTAGTGACTTAAATACTACTTAGATCAAATGGACGACTATGCAATCTGCACTTAAATTGATTTTTTCGATTTCTTGAAATAAAAATTATTTCGTGCTATAATAATCTGTAAATTTTTTCTTGTTGTTAGGTCTTGCATATATTATATTTCATCCTTTCTATTATAAGTGAAAATTTCATCAATTATAAAGATCAATGAAACCATTAAATGGTTCCTTTATTTGATTTTTAGTGACTTGATGGAAGAGAATTTTAAAAATTCAAGTAATGGGTTTAGTGGATATATATTTTTAATTGTATTTACTTAAAGTTTAGAAATACAAATTTAAAATTAAAATAAATATTTTAATTTCGTACTAAACAGTTTCTAAAGGTTTCAAATAAGTTTTGATGCTTATATATTTGTAGAATATTAAATAAAACAAAAATATATTCATTTTGATATTAGAATAAAAAAAAAAAACACATTGAGATAATTTGTATTAATTTAAAAATGATAAATAAATTATAAATTATTAAATTATAATAATAGAGTGAAGTGTTTTTTTTATTTATTTAATATTAAATAAAAATAAGGATGAGCAATATACCTATGACAAAAATATCTAAAAAAATTAAAGCAAAAGTTATCAATAAATAGAAATTCTTAACAATAAAATGCATTTGCAGGACTAATACGGTTAAAATCAAGATATTCGCATTTGATTTTTCAGCAAATAACTTAAATTATTTAAATATTAACGTTAACCGTAGACAGACAGACATTATTATCAACGTGTTTTTGCTCGAATGAATTCCTTTGTAATTTCACACAATTGCGCTACCCTTCATGTGCTAAACACCTATTCCCATACTCGATCCAAGCGAAGATACATAGATACAATGAACAAAACACATGTGTGTGCTTATATGGACCATAATGGTGATATCTCTATCTCTATAACGGTAGCTATTACCCACATCCGTTAGTCAGTTTGCCACACGGTTCGTCCATCCGTCTGTCCATTTTCATGTTTGGGTTGCTTATAAAAGCGCCGTCGCACACTCGTTTCCGTTTGCTATTGTCCTGTCTTTACCGACTTTGAATGGAATGGCATAGAATAATTGAAACGGAAGCCTGGGCTTGGGCTTCTACAGCCTACACACTAACGAAAGTAAACACAACCGAACACATTCTTTACTATTATCCTTTGGAGGTTTGTTTTTTTTGTATTTTTGCATGTTTCTTTGCGCAGAAAAGTCGAAGGCGGATGTCAAATTATTTTGTTAACAAAAGCAAAACAAACAATGGCGTCTAAAGAATTTGCAAATACCCGTTCAAGTTTGTTCGCTTGTCTGCATATTAGCAAATATATAATATTCCCTTACATACCTACATGCATACTCGCAAATGCCAGGATACATACTTCCACATATAACCCTAACCCCTCAGCATCGACAAGGGAAGGACACTGAAATGGCAACAATTATGCAAAAAACAAAAAAAAGAGAAAATTATGTTTAAAATTTAATTTCTGCTTCCATTAGCGCCGCAAATGATTTAAATTATTTAAAAATATTCTCATGTGTGTGCGTCCTGTCCTGTACGTGCTGACACATTGCAATTGAATTTATGAGGTCATAGATTGCGATAATAAGAGGAAATTAAATCACTTTGACCGGAAGGAAGCATGTCAGGTCGAAGGACTATCTTATTGCAAATGAAAATTTGACAACTTCTGCATATTCAATAAACGCTTCACAGCTTCACGGCTATCAATGACGGCAGCAGCAAGTAACTTCGGACCGCCGCTTGCATTGCAATTTATGTAGATTTTTATCTGAATTGAGTTTTTCTTATTGTTTCACTTTAAATGCAATATTTTTTATATTCCAACGTCGATACAAAATTGTTGATTTTTGTCTAAAGAATCCCATATTGTAGTAGATCCACAACTTAACCCGGCTGGGTTGGCTTGTATGCAGTGCATTTGTTGCTTTCATAGAAAATTCTTGTTTGCTGAACAAATTCTCCTTGCAACAAATTTAAATTGAATTACATTGAAAATACCAAAATTGTTTACCTTCAGATATTTTCGTAATTAAGAATTTTTATTGAAATTTCGCTTCAATAGACAAAAATTCAATCAACTTTGGAATTTGAAATTTAAAGTAAAACTTTTTGAACAAAGCTAGTCTGGAACGTTGAGAACAGAAAGGATTCATAGTATACAAACTCTCATAAGCTTTTCACGCGTTACATCTTCTTACATATATTCTTATATACATATGTATGTATAAATTCATATATAACTCCTTTATTTCTATAACATAAAATTGTAGTGTAAAATGTAATAATAGAACAGTTCATTTTATATAATAAAATTGTTTTGCTTTACTAATAAATCTGACATTAAATTTGTTTTTGATAAAATAGTTAAATAACACTTGTATATATACATAAGTTAAAATGAAGTTTTTAAAATAAACCACCTTGAGAATATAACGAAAATTTTTCAAAATTTAAATTCCATTCAAATTCACATTAATTTCAAAATTAATTTTAAAACTATAAAATTATCATTAGCTAAATCAATTATTATTAAATTTAGTTTTTTATTATTATTGAATTATAAAAAATATCTAACAATTACACGACTATTTTAATTTTCCAGAAATATAATTTAGACCATGTTTCCACTTGTCTCATTTAGATAATTTTGCTCATTAAGGCCACTAATGAAAATATTTTACCATGCCAAGAGCTTTCATATAAATAAGTTCATTAAAAATTAATCAACGTACGTATTTAAGGCGAAAAATGTTAAATGCAAGCCTTAAAAATAAATTTCCCATAAGGGAAATTAACAAAATTTGAAACTTTAACCTATATATACCGATTATATGATTGATATTTTTTCAGTATAGTCGATAGGGAAGAAGTACTGTCTTAGATATAATAAATCTATTATATTCCAATGATACTACCGTTAAAATATTATTTACCACTGATTTAGTCAGTTGAATCGAAGCTGCCTTTAACAGACCAATGGATCTTCAAAAAAAAGGAATAATATTTGAACATCCTGAAAGTATACTTTTATTTTAATATATATTATGTGCTGTTCACACGGCAAAGTAAAGAATTAAAGAATAAAATTTTTTTATAATTAACTACTATTTACTTAATTTGTGCTTAAAAAAAGTCACATAACGGATAATGTTTTACATTAAATAAACTAATTTTTAACTGACATAAAATTTAATTTAATTTAAATTAATTTAATTTAATTTAAAATAATTTAGTAATAACCTCAAACAACCTCAAAAAAAGCATTTTCTATGTGTCTTCCTTGATATATGTTCCCTGATGCTTTATATTTAGACCTATGATAAATAGGCTATATATTTAATACACAAGCTTTAGTTAAAGTACATTAAACAGTAGTAAGCAGTTTAAGAGTATTATTAATATTATTTATAAATATTGAAAATATATATACATTTTTAGGTGCTATTAAGTAATACGCCTTCTAACTAATTAGCTTCTGATCTGAAGACCAGAAAAGTCAAGAACTTTGGCTACTATACCCGTATTGTCTTCTATTAAGAATATATCGCAACTATAATACAAATCTATATTGATTATGATTTTTTTGAGTGTATCTGGAAGTATCGTCAACTTCAAAGCTTAAACAAAATAAAAATTATTAATCACAGCAATTGAAGCGTTAAGCGAATGCTGTGTTTAGGGAAAGCTAAGCAAAAGATTTCGGGATGAGATTCACATGTGCTTGAAATGCCGACTTGTGAAGAAGTCATAAGATACTTATGTATATTTTATATATTCATTTTGTTAAATTAATAAATATAAAAAAAATGTTAAAATATTGTAAATTCAATACTAATAAACTTTTTCTCTTCTTCTCATCTTACAGAGTTTCAAATTGAAGTTAGAAATCAGTAGTCAATAAATTTAAACTTAAGCGGCAACCGCAAAACAATTTATTTTTGGCGAATATTTTTTGGATTTTACAATTTCAAAAGGAAACAAACAATATTAAATATAATTAAAAGCAAAAAGCAAAAAGCAAAAAGGAGAACTAATCTTTCGAGCAAAGGATCAGAAACGAAATAATTTGATACCTCAACACATTTACGATAAACTTTAAGCTGTAAATTGTACTTAAGTGTTCAAATATTAGTAAGTAAAATTAACTAACTACCCCCTTCCCCCTTTCCTCATACAAATAAATTAATACATATTATTTTCTTACTTTCAGGTTTAATACGACAAATCGAATTCTACAATTAAACAAAAACTAAACAAAAAAAATTATAAAAATTTATACACATTTTAAAATTACTTATAAGTAAAAAAGGAAATAAAAAAAAAATAGCTTCAAGCACAGAATTGCTAACGCATTTGAGTCTCAGCAATTTCAAAACCAGTCACTAGTAATTAATCGAATTGCAAGTTTTCACGTTTTAAGTTGGAAAAAGTGGAAGAAAATTTTCTATTCAACATGACGATGAGTACAAATAACTGTGAGAGTATGACCTCATATTTTACGAACTCCTACATGGGCGCCGACATGCATCATGGACACTACCCGGGTAACGGAGTCGCTGATCTCGATGCACAACAGATGCATCATTATAGTCAAAATCCAAATCACCAGGGCAATATGCCCTACCCGCGGTTCCCACCTTATGATCGGATGCCCTACTACAATGGCCAAGGTATGGAACAGCATCAAGGCTATTCACGGCCAGACAGTCCTTCCAGTCAAGTAGGCGGCATGCCCCAATCGCAGGCGAATGGCGGTGGTCCGATCGTTACACAACAACAACAATCACAGCAACAGAATACACCACAGCATCAACAGCATCCGCAAGTGACGCAACAGGTGACACACCCACAACAACAGCAACCAGTCGTCTATGCAAGTTGTAAGCTACAAGCTGCAGTCGGTAGTCTGGGTATGGTACCCGAAGGCGGTTCACCACCGTTAGTCGATCAAATGGGCACTCATCATATGAACGCACAAATGTCAATACCACATCATATGGGCCACCCACAAGCACAGGTGAGTTAAGTTTAGATTAAGGTTCTTAGTAATGAAATGGATTCAGTGCAGAATTGTTAAATTAAATATTTGGTCGGGTAATGATATGAGTACCATTATCAGTAACACCTCAATAGATGTCTATTAACAAAGTAACTGAATCCATTTAAATCTTGCACTGCAATCTTGTTGAAGTTCTTGAAACCCTTAAATAAAAAGTAACGAATAATTAGTGAATGTTTAGAGAATTTAGTGACATCGTAGCAATTTTAGTGTTTTTTGTAAATATTTAGAAGAAAAAACTAAAAAAAATCCGTTTCTTATCTCGTTTTGCACATTCTAGTTGGGTTACAATGATGTTGGAGTTCCTGATGTCACAGAGGTAAGATCCATGCAAATCTTCTTATTTATCTACGAACTGTGATTAATTTTATTAACCCAACAAAAACATTTTAAAAGTATAAGAATATTTTTTTTTTGTGTAATAAGGTTGTTTTCTTACATTCATTTTCTGCTTGAGCCTCATTATGTATCTAATTTTATGTTTTTTTTTTTTGTGTTTAAATATTACATAAATAGTTTGTTATAATTTTTTCTGGAATTTTCAAAGGTACACCAAAATCATCACAACATGGGCATGTATGGACAACAGCAAACTGGCGTTGCAACTGTTGGCGCACCTCCACAATCCATGATGCAAGGTCCACCACAAATGCATCAGCATCCTGGTCAACACACACCACCATCACAAAATCCAAATTCGCAGTCTTCAGGGATGCCATCTCCATTGTATCCCTGGATGCGAAGTCAATTTGGTAAGTGTCAAGGAAAGTGATCACGAATTCCATAACGTATAAGTGGAATTTTTTTCTTCTTCATAAAAAGTAGAAAGTTGCGGTTTAAATGTTGTTGTAATTTGAAGTATCTTTTGTTGATATAATTTTTTTTTTAATTTTTGTAGTTAGCTTGTATTATGATTTATTTGGTAAAAGTTGAGAGAATTACTATATTTTTTTTTTTAATTTTATATGGCAGTACTATTTGGTAAAAGGCAGACAAAATGTATTGAGTTTGCGGTTGTTGTCACCGCTAAGTCATATGTGCTTATAAACATTACCGCTTGGTGGCTTGCGATCCTTGATATACTTTTCTATAAGCTGAACTTGAGAATACTATAATTTCTATAAATTATTAATATATATAATTTCCAAACAATGTATTATAATCTCCACATATCTTCACATATGTTTATATATCCAATCTCCACATATTGCATATATATTTTAATACATTTTCTAATGAGTCCGTGTTCTTTAAATGACATATTACCACCAATCTAGTTGATGTAATAATAATACTTGGTGGAGAGTGAAGTAGTAAGCTTTAATTTAATAAAAACCATTTTTATAAAACTAGAACTTATATATAAGTTCTAAATTATATATAAAAGCTCTATATATAATCAATACATTTTCTTTTTTACCCTTCAACGGAACTAATTCCTTTGTCAATGCTCATATTAAAAATAAAATAAAAATAGTGAATAAAGAAAGTTCAAGGCCTAGTGTTCACAGTATATATGTGTTTCTGTCTCTCTAGGAGGAGTATAGAGCCTCTGCTAGTATTTATTAGTCAAAAATGTTTTTACATACTGAATTAATAAACCTAATTTGGTGGCACAATTAGAAATATATCTACTAAAGTATATAAACAGTATATAGCTATATATATTGGCATATAAGGCAGTGGCAAAAAGTATTCAAAATAATTGATTTTACTGATCAGCGCAGCCAGAAGATTGTGGCCATGCACCAAATAGTTGTACTCACATAACCATATCATATTAGCTGCCTATTTCTATTTTATGAAACCTTCATGATCAATCAATCCCGCAAAGTCAGTTATTAACCAACTATATCTTTAAAAAACTATTTTTAAGTTTTAAAGAAAATAAGTCAAAGTAAAATTATAACAATAAAAATGTGTTTATTTTTATTATTTATTAAAAATAATAGTTTAGTTTATAAAACTAAAAATGAACATGTATATTTATAGCGCTAGATACTGAAGTCTTCGGCTATTAAATAAATATACATTATAACCTTCGCACTTCTCTTCATTTGTTTTGGTACTATAGTCCAGTATGAACATAAAGCTTCATTTCATACTATCTGCTTACAAAAGACTCTTAAGATCTTCGTCTTATTTTGGTGTTGGATATATTGACACTATTATGATAAAAGGTATACACTCTTCGCTTTCTAAGTAGTTTATAGAACGATTTATGAACTGTCTTTAATTGTCTTTGATCATTATAAAATAAAATTCAACATGATACATCCGCACTTATGAATATATATTTAAATTATGTTATACCAATGTAGCCAGAAAGTAATAAATATATATATAATAAAGGTGTTATGTTAGTTGATATACTGTTAAGGTTAACTGATCACTCAGTTAGTGAGTCCAATTAGCAATTTCGCATTGTTTTCGCATACTTTAGTTAAAAGATTTATACTTGGAATAGTTCAATCAGCTAATGAATATTGTGGATCTGATACTCACCGACTATCACTTATTCGCAAATTTTAAATAGATGCGCACGGCAATGAAATTTAAATAGAATGAAGATGTGATCGCTAAAATCATTAATTAAATAATTTATACTAATTAATATAAATTATATTTCAAAATCTTGACAATTTCTGCTAACAAAACAAAACACTGCTGATATATAAGAAATATACTACATTATAATATTGTTATATTCAAATATTATAATAATGTATTTTCTATCAATTCTTATATCAGTTGTTGGTGCATATATTGGAGCATAATGCAAAGTCCTGACTAATATAATGTGTTAATATAATATAATTATAATATATTTTATTTATAATAACATTAAATGAGGAGTGGTTTCCAAAAGTAATGAACTACAACAACAAAATTTTTTTTAATATTATTGTAATTAATTGAATGTTCAGCTGATCATACAGCTACTTCGAGTATTGCCAAATATTCATACTCAGATTTTTTGGAAATTATATCTTATATTTAATTATTCATAAATAAGTTTTTGGCACTGTTCATACCATGGTTAGAGCTCGTGCCCCGCCAAATTTGAAGCTCAGAGTCAGTATTCATTAGCCAACTGATCCAAACCTGTACTTCACTTGTATGTTCGAACTTAAATATATTATAATAACACTAATTATAGCACAATTATATCAAATTAATGGCTTTTTTACCAAACAATTTTTTTGTTATATTTTATAAAATTAAGACTACTAAAAATATTTCTTATATCGAACACTATTTTGTAACCAGATGTAGTTTAAACATGAAAACTTTATTTTTATGGTTTTAATATATCTAAATGACTTAATAACTTATTTATGAAACATTTTATTTAATAGAATTAAATTAGTTTACTTAAACTAAATTAGTTGACTCAAATGTAGTAATGAGGTTGACCAAATTATAAATCCTTGTCCTCAAAGTCAGACTTGCCCTCAAAGTCAGACTTGCCCTCAAAGTCAGACTTGCCCTCAAAGTCAGACTTGCCCTCAAAGTCAGACTTGCCCTCAAAGTCAGACTTGCCCTCAAAGTCAGACTTGCCCTCAAAGTCAGTCAGAGTTTACTTCCCGCTGAATTTTAATTATTTAATTATTGCATTTAAAATGCATTTCAGATAAAATGCAAGTGTAATTATGCATTCTGCAATATGCCATTTAACCTTGAATGAGTTTAGATTTGTGATGTTTCTAAGGGAAATAATTACCTGTCACTCCTGGGAAATACGTAAAAACTCACATATAAAAATAAATTCTATAAAAGTGAAAACAACACGAACTCAAACCGAACTCATTTTGCTCACATACAGAACTGCAGAACTGCAGATTGCAGATTGCAAAATACACGTAAAGGAAACAATAGCAATCACAGCCGAAAAGGATATTTACGTATAAACAAAAGAGGTAAAAATGAGTTCCCTAAATGTATGGCAGAAAATTATCACATAGGGCGGTCCGGCTAATAATACTATTTGAGCATTGAGCAACGGATCAAATTTTTCAGAAAAGTGTTGCAAATTTAGAGCGTAACAAATTTTGGTCACAAAGGTTCATCCCATTTTCCAAACTGAAGGAAGAGACTGTAACCGACAGAATAACAGCGAGTAATGCAATTGTTCTATAAAAGTTGAGTGGTCACCTTCTGTTTTTGATGCCACATTGTCAACTATGTACTGACCACTGCAGGATATCTTATCTTATGTTGCATAAACAAAAAATCTTAAAAGTGAATTTGGTCACATAAATCCAATCCCAAACTTAAAGAGATTCACTCATATCCTTATATGTCACATATTCAAAAGAAAAAAAAACCGTGAAAGCTATAGTTTACTATATTGATAAATATATGAAGGATCAGGTGACATTTCGGTGGTAGTGAAGCCTTTCGCAGGAGCATTAATAACTGTCAGTGACGCCATTAAAGGATAATGCAATTTGTTCGATTTTTAATAACGCGAAATAGTTATGCAAACGATGACGTTTACAAGTGCATGCAGTCTCTTCTCCTCTTACCTTTGCAGAACAAAAATGCAGAAAAATATATATAAAAAATGCAAAAAAAAAAAGAAAAAATTGTGTATAAATAAAATATTTTTTATTTACTTATTTTTTTCTTACATTTTGGAATTTTGTAAGCCAGATTGAGATGTAAAGCAAAATTGATTACCGTCATTAGTTACACGTTATGTGCAATGGATGCCATCAATTTATTAATCTCTGGAACACGGTTCGCGTATTTTTTCCTTTTTGCCCCCCGATTCATTCATGTTTCATGTTCTGTTTTTATTCAAGTTTTTGCTTTTTGTGCTTAAAACGTTTTTCCTTCTGCGGCTTATGCGCTGCCTGCCATGTTTTGGCCGCAGCATGCTGCACGCGCTTAAAGCTTTAAAGACATCGGAATTGAGCCTACGAAATTTATATAACACCACAGTGAGGTGACATGGAGTTTTATTTATACACAGTTGGAACATAATTCCTTTTGCATTTGAGATTTCAATTTTATTTTTCATACTTAAAAGAGCAAAAATAAAAATAATATATCTAAAAAAAATTTTAAAAAAAATCAAAAAAAAAAATAATTCTTAATGGCTTTGGCATTTTTTTTTTCTATATTCTCTATAAGAGATAAATTGCACTGCCACATACGACACGCATGCAGAAAAAATTATTTGATTTCCATACTCATTTTTATTATAAAAATTTATAATTTATTCGTTAATAATTATCAAAAACATTAATTAAGAAGAAGCATATAGTTTTTTAAGCTCAGAGCTTATTTTGTATTGCTGCAATGTAGCACTATAGTAGCATATAAATAAGAGCTGAGATTCAATATTATTAATATTTAGTATAGACAATTTATGACTATGATTATTTGGAAAATAATTCCATCTCTTTTGTTTATAAAAATGGAAGACAATTTTTTTAGAGTTTAAAAATATTTTAGAGTGGTTGTGAGCTCATTTTTTATCTCATTATTTCATTAAAATCCCACCAAACAAAAAACATCATCCTTTTTTCATAATATCATCATTTGAAGTGCTTTGGGTCAGTCTATCCTTATTACTCCTTAATATCTCTCATTTAACATTGTTGTAGTCATCAATTTATTCTCCCTATTATAAAACTTTATCATTTTCTCAACACTAGAGAAGCAGATAATAACAGATAGCGTCTTGAAGGTATTCGTGAAACCCAACAGGCTACCCTACTTAGCTCTATCTAATCTCAGAATA